TTTTTTTTTTTTTTTTTTTTTTTTTTTTTTAGATAATTTAACTTTGGTGGAGCAAAGTTGGAAGCTAAAACATCACAAAGTTTATGAGCAACAAAGGCATCTGGTTGTAATCATCAATTTGGAGTTTGAGTTTAACAGTACAACAGTACTTTAACAGTTTCCTTTAACAGCACTTTCAATATGAGAAGTGTTTACGTTACTATAGTCCTTTTATGTTAAGAAGACAGGTATGTTTCAAAACTTCTTGAGAGACCATAAGTGTTCAGAATAAGTTAAAGTAGGGCGAATAATTCTAATGCTAGGTGCATCATTTTTTTCTTTTTATCAGTTGCAAATTATTTCACTTTGCGTCAACACAAAAGATTCGCAGCTGCAAACTTATCAATTTACTGAGAAAAATAACTTATGTTCAAGCGATAAGAGCCAGCGTTGGTTTTTCTACGTAAAATCGCACACTTCTTGAACATGTTAAAAGTTTTTTTCTTCAAACTGTCACTTAGTGCACCTAAGCGTATTGTTTACGAAGCAGGAGAATACGCTTGGAAAAACAGGTTCTTTCTCAAATAACAACTCAATGAACTGCAGAAAATTTATAGATTTTGTGCTGTTGGTTTTAATGTATTATGCTTGTTTACTTATCAAAACTCAACACCGACAGGCCGCCCAGTAAAGACAAGATGTTTTAGTTTTGAAAAAAAAAAACGTTCTTTCATTTTGGCTAAACGACGCTCTAGTATTTTTCCTCCGTCAAGAATTCCAAGCATCTGCACTGTTTTGCAAATATTTATCCCAAGTTTGTGGTAGTGAATCACGCACTGTAATGGTGGCGTTTTGAATATCTTTCTTCTTATTTACATGACTATTATGAGCTATCAAATCTCTAAGTGTAGTAGGTATTCTATGAACTATTAATCTTGTTTAGTAATATTTTTTGATGTATTTAATGTTTTTTCACTGGTTTTCGTTGGCTTCTTAGCTCTTCTGAATTAACTTTGAATTGGGCTATGGAGAAAACACAGAAATGTGCAGAAATACCGCTTGAATAGCACAAAACAACAGTTTGAACGTATTAGGTGGTCTGTTTTCCTAAATTTATAGCTATCTTAAAGTAAAGATTCCTGTAAGCAGCTATTTATGTCACTTCGATAGTTTGCTTACTTGTTTGCTGGGTTAGAAATGAAAATACATTATTAATTCTGCATTCTTTCACTGCATGCAGCCAGTGATTGCAGGATTGCATTTTACCACTGAACGCCGGTTTTTCAGGCCTGGGTTGCAGCAGTGTCGTTGCTGATACGTGGGTTGAACACCATGACGATTTTGAAAAACTGCTAGCTTTTTTAAATAAGAAAAAAAGTAACCCTAAGAGCGAAGAATGCTCACGTCAACAATATTCTCTTGAACAGCAGTCGAAGTTAAGCAAAGCGAGAGTACAGTAACTTTTTCAATTAATTTTTAGTTTTTTAATTAATTGGCACTTGAGAATATCTGGCGTACCTTCATTCTAGTGAATTTATAGTTACCAGAAGTCTGCTCGCAGCAAAGATGTAGCACAGTACTCTGAACAAGATAAAGTTGCTGTGTTGGGTCCTATGAAACCTTCTAAAAACGGTAATCAAAAACGGAAAGTTGAAGAGCTTTCGGAGGTAATAACTGAAGTTTATTGAATAGTTTAACTTTCTTTTTGGTTTGCTATATATTTTTTTACAGCTAACGCGACTGATAAACTTTTGAAATTTCAAGTTTTTAAAAATCAGGCTCGAACAGAGTCTAAATGTCCTAATTAAAGTTTCTTTGATGGATCCCCACTGTTCTTTTTTAAAAACACTCATACTGTTGTATCGAGATCGAGGATAAAAGTTTTGTTCGCATTGAGTAAACAAAGGCTACCGCTGATGAAGAAGAATTACCATTTTTTATTACACCATAAAGATATAGGGGAACAAAAAATAGTAGATAAAGACGTTTCTTAGAGTTCAGACGGATAAGCTATGGGGCACATGGGATAATTTCTAATGTGCTTTCGTAAGTGGGTCGAGCCTTTTTCTTATTCACTTATTAGTTTTTGCGTAAAATCTAAGAATTTCTGCATACTTTTGCGAATGTTTGAATAATTGGTGCTTCTGACCATTTCAGGCGGTGCTTGTGGACACATCCAGTACAGTACAGAGCGAGTTGTCAATGAAAGATTATTTTGCTAAAAAATCAAAAAGACTTAAATCAAGCTTGGGCCCGGTGAAGAATAAAGGCAAAATTGAAAGTTAAGCTTAGATTTGATTCGGCTCTGCTCAAATATTTGACGGAGTAAAAGTTTCTAACTTTCATTTGTGAAGCAGTGCTAGTATTAAGTCGGCCAAGTTCTTATGCCTGGGTTTCTTGCAGGTTTAGTTTCTTAAATTCTAAAAGGGATTTGACGAAAGTAGCAGATTTTAATTTAACAGCTTTGACTGTTAACATATAATTGTCGAAGTTGGCTAGTAAAATCGGCTAGTAGTAGCCTGACACTGTCACGCCATAAAATCATTTACTCTAATTTCAACTGCATTTAAAAAACAGTGTGCAGGACTCGGGTAGTTGGTCTAAAAGGTTTTGTTGATATTTGTTGATATTTGCGTTCTTAGTGAAGAATCATTTTCAAATTATATTCAGTCATTTTTGCTTTAAAGTGGTTTGGAAAATTTAGGGAAAGAATTACCCTTACATTTAGGCAATTTATGGTTTGAAATGATGTGGAGAAAATTTGTTCGTATATGCATAATCAAATCAACTATTCAGTTGTTTAATTCTTGTCATTTTTTTGTGAATGAAAGGAGACGATCTG